TACTGAATAGTATCCTCGCTCCCTCTCTCCCTCTCTCCCTCTCTCTCCTACCCTCGGCCCCACAGATCAGGCTGCATCATCTTCGTACGCACCAACTCTTTGGAAATGTGATGGGTCTGGGCGCCGTGGACGCCTCTGCGTGGAAAAGCTCGAGCAGGCACGTCGCAGAGGCGTCTGGCACGCAGAGCACTCAAGCGGTGCTGTTCTCGTTTGGCGATGCCAAGGTGAGCCAGACGGCGCCATAAGAGGCAGGAGGGAGAGGGTTTGAAGGGCGTTGCAGGTGCCGCACATCGTGTGGGTGTTGATCAGCCGTGCAACGTGCTCCCTCCACTTCGCAGATGGCCCTGATGGAGTGGGACGACGAAGCGATGGATCTTGTCACCGTCTCCATTCACACCTATCAGAGAGCCCCTCAAATGGTGAGTGCTGTTTCTGCGCATCGCTGGAGCGCGCGCGCGTGCATGCTAAGGTGCATCTTGTGCTCCCCTCCCACTCTTCACTCCCACAGATCAATGGGTCTCCTCCGCATTTTCAAAACTTTTTGCGCACCGATCCGGTCTCGAGGTGTGCGGTCATGCTGCTGCCTCAATCTTCCATCGCCGTGCTTCCCTTTTATCAAGACAGCGTCGATCTGGGAGACGAGATGGATTTGGAGCTGTTGGATGGCGAAGGGGACGCTGTGCGCCAAGGACATGAGCCGGCAGCCGCTGGCGAGGCTGTGCCCTACGCCCCTTCCTTCGTGCTGGACCTAGCGAAATTGCTTCAAGTGGCTGGCGTGAGGGATCTTGCTTTTTGCGAGGGATTTCAGAGACCCACGCTAGCCGTGCTCAGCAGTGTAGCAGGCACCTGCACCGGGTAAGAAAGGGAATGACAGCTGGGCGGTGTGGATCAGATCATCCGGCTGACTTGAGATCTCGTTTCGCTTTGCCTCGCCACTGCACCTCAAGCCGATTGAACGAGAAGCGCGATACGTGCGTCTTGCACCTCCTCACCTTGGATCTAAGCATCACTTCGACCCATCCCATCCTCAACACCTGTCCCAACCTCCCGCACGACGTGCTCTACATGAGACCCTGCCCTGCCAACCTTGGAGGAGGCGTGCTGCTCGTATCTCCCTGCGCCTTGATGCACGTAGATCAAGCGGGCAACGTCGTAGGTCTAGCAACCAGCGACTGGTTCGCCCTCACCTCCGATCGAAAATTGCCAAGCCTTTCTCTCCCAAGCACCTCCCCCTCGACCTCTTTGAACGGGACGCAGAGGCACAATGCGCAGATCAATCTAGCCAATTCGGAAATCATCTTTCCGAACGACAAGGCACAAAGCGGATCGGCGGCGGCTAGTATGGTCTTGCTGTTCAGTGCCTCTTCCGAAGCGTATCAGATCCGCTTCAACTTTGATGGAAGGACATTGGAAAGCCTTTCGATGGAGCTGGTGCACATGTCTAGCAGTCTTGCCGAGGCGCCCGCGGGAGGGCACGACGTCGAGAAGTTGACCCCGCCCGCTTGCGCGGCCATGATCGATGAGGAACTTGCGATTGTGGGAAGCATGATCGGTCCGAGTCGATTGGTGATGGTGAAGAATGTGCAGAAGAATGTGGAGCAGGCGGAGCATGTCAAAGAGGAGGACGATGCAAAGAGGAATTTGCAGGGGCATGCCGAAATGGAAATGGACCTGGACGATGGTGAGTTTGCCACCCAGCAGGCTTCGCATGGTTTTCTCTCTGCGAACATCACTTTACCCCTTTATCTCGTACCACTGCAGACTTGTACGGCGACTCTGCGCGTGCAATCTCCTCCGCCGCCGGCCCTTCGACGAACGGCAGCAGCACCAAGAGGGCGATGACGAGTTTGGAATTGAAGCCCTTGCCGGCGAACATACCCGCCTTGGGACCTGTGCACGACTTGAAGATGTGCGCTTTTGATGAGCTCGACGTCAAAGGGGAGGAAGCGTCTTTGAGAAAGGATGGAAAGGTGTTGAAGACGCTCGCTACTGTGGGTGCTGCGCCCCATGCCGGCGTGGCCATTCTAGAAGTGAGTCTGCCCTTTTGGTACTTTGCGCGCGCGCCCGAGCTTACGACCTTACCCAACGCAAATCCCTGCGCGCGCGACGTCCCCCACCTCCCCCCCCCCCCCCCCCCAAAAAAAAAAA